TTTGTGCTGGATTTCAATATCTGAGTCTACGAAATACACTTTTAAATTTAATTTATTACTTGATTTGGAGTCAGTATCTCAAGCACACTTCCCCGATGAGTAGGGGAGTGATTTTTTAAAACACTTTGGGATCCAGAGAAATAAAGTGCTCTAGGGAAACTCAGGTGTGTTCTTCTGTATTATGAACTGTGCTCCCCACCTCTTCCCCTATTTTCATTTACAGGGAAGGGAGCCCAAACTAATTCAGATATCATCCCACCATGGCGGCTCTCAATCAAACCAGCTTACAGCCTGCCTCCTTCCTCCTGCTGGGCATGGCAGGCCTGGAGGACCTGCACACCTGGCTCTCCATCCCATTCTGCATGATGTACATCGCGGCGCTCCTTGGCAACTTCATCCTCTTATTTGTCATTGTGACGGAGCGAAGCCTCCATGAGCCAATGTACCTCTTCCTGGCCATGTTAGCCATGGCAGATCTCGTATTATCCTCCTCCACAGTGCCCAAAGCCCTGAGCGTATTCTGGTCCCTTTCCAAGGAGATTTCTTTCCATGCCTGCCTTACCCAGATGTTCTTCACACACCTGAGCTTCATTGCAGAGTCGACCATTCTGCTGGCCATGGCATTTGACCGGTACGTGGCCATCTGTAACCCCCTGCGATATGCCACAGTGTTCACGCACTCGGTGATAGCCAGGATAGGGCTGGCTGCAATAGCCAGGAGCTTTTGTGTGATGTTCCCAACAATATTCCTCCTTCGGAGGCTGCCATACTGCAGACACAACATCATGCCGCACACCTACTGCGAGCACATGGGCATCGCACGGCTGGCCTGTGCCGACATATCTGTTAACATCTGGTACGGCTTTGCCACCACCCTTCTGTCCCCAGGAGTGGACATTGTGCTCATCGGGGTATCGTATGTCCTCATCCTCCGGGCTGTCTTCAGGCTCTCATCCAAGGATGCGCAGCTCAAGGCAGTTGGCACCTGCAGCTCTCATGCCTGCGTTATATTAATATTCTACACTCCAGCATTTTTCTCATTTTTCACTCATCGGTTTGGCCGCAACGTCCCCCACCATGTTCACGTCCTGTTGGCCAATCTCTATGTGCTCTTGCCACCTATGCTAAACCCCATCGTCTACACTATGAAAAACAAACACATTCGAGAAAAGGTGTCCCAAGTACTCTTCAGGGCTGGGCAGGTGCGGTGACAGGGATGCTATTCCTTTGAAAGGAAAGCATGGAGAAATGCTCTGGACCAAAGAAGCAGAGTGTATGCATGTGAAATAACCCGGTTTCCTACCTTTTTTAGACTCAGCCCAACATCACTGCTGATCAGATTTCCTGCTAGATGTTTCCTCAGACTAAACTGCAGCACTAATGAAAAAGGAGAAATTAGTGGGGAACCATCAATCAGAATTCAGGCTGATGCAATCTGGTGTTACACCATTACCATCAGAGCTTTATTGATGGGTTTGGTTGGACCTACATGGTGATGAGATGCATGTTTTCTGCTTGGACACTGCCATGTCCAGCTCCCCATTGAGTGCGTGTTTCTATATCTTGTATCTCAAAGTTTTCAGAAAATATCAAACATTTTCCTAGGTATAAGCTGAGAAAAACTTATTGTGTTGGACTAAATGCAGGAATTACTGTTCAAGTTTCTCTGATCCCTTCAGTGCAAGCTAGATAAACATAATCAATCCTTTAATTTTTACTGGTCTTTCCTACTTTCAAGACTCAGCACCGCTGCTTTGCACTACTGAATTTTTGCTAATTCATAGTAGTTGGAGATCTGCCCCCAAATGAGATCTTTTTCAGGAAAACAAAACTAAAACCAGAAGTTTTAATAAATGGGGTGAATTATTATAAAATGGTTTGTGGCTCAACGTTCTGCATCTTCCCAAGAGCCACATTCAAGACCACGTAGGTGAGCATGTCACTCCCTGCACAATGGGAACATCAGTGTCTGTCCTCCCCTGCTCTGCATCCCACGTAGCTCCCGATGCTGAGCAGTGGGTTGAGCTGCCCCTCCAGACTCTTCCCTTATGCCTGTCACTGTCAGGATCTCCCATCTCCAGACACCTGACTGTTCTCATTAAACCTGGAGGCTCTTGATATCCCCATGATTGTTCCGTCTCTGTCAGACTTGGTAGGAAATAACCAGAAAATTAAGAGCTCGTGGGAGCTGACAGACAGACAGACATAGACACATACACTTTGCTTTCTTTGATTTACACAGGAAGGTGAATCAGCTGTAAAAGATATGAATACTGGAAGAAAGGGGAAGTTGATAGGGATTAGTATGAATACTAATGTAGCAAGTGTGGGAAATTCATACAGGGTTTTTTTTTTCACACAGAAAAATCCATAACCAGGAGAAAGAAGGGCTTTAAGAAAGAGGTTTTCTAAGCAATAACTGAAAAAAGAGAATTAAGAAATTACTCGGTCACTATATGGACAGTGAAACTGTCAGTCAGGGTAGAAATGTTCAGGAAATGTTTGCCTTGAGGAAAAAGCCAGATGCAAATGATGAAATATTTTCCCTCCACGAGTCTCAAAAGAAGGCATTAAAACAATAAGCACAGGAACTTTCAGAGATCTGCAGCTCCAGATGATTGGCACTTAAGGGTTTTAAAAGATCTTGGGGCTTTTGCTGCCATATCACGAAATGCTGCCATGCGATGTGCACATTTCCACTTGCAGGCTGACCCACATGGGCAGCCCATGGCTCCATCGCTGCAGGGAGCAGCCAGAGCCAGCCAGGGGCTTTGCAGCTGGGACATGCTCCTTACCTGTCCCAAACCCCAGGACCCCAACGCTGCCCGGGGACAAGGATTGCTCACCCACAGCCGAGCGCAGGCTTGTGTCAGAAAGAACACTTGCTTTCCTGCCCAGCAGGTCCCATCAGTCCCTGTTGGTTTCTGATTTGATTGCAATATTGCTGAGCAGAGACATTGTCCAACAGGCAAAAAAGGCAAAGGAAGGCAAAAAACCCAGTATAAATTCCTCCCATTTGTGGGGTGAGAGTTGAAGCAGAGAATTCAGAGAATTACATCACATCTGCAGGTGATGGAGGGCTTCTGAGAAAAGAGGGCAGCTCTGGCAATTTTCTGGAGGTGTTGCAGCCTGGGGCTGGGTAGGTGGAAAGAAGGTGGAGCAGCGGGTCATGGGGCCAGGAGAAGCACCTGGAGCAGAGTGTGTTGGGAGGGGAAGGTGGGAAGCCCACATTTGGGACCACCAAGCATCCCTGGGCAGCCCAGATTTCCCAGAGACATTTTTGAAGCTCTGCTAGGATGGGGAAGGGCTGGGCCCAGACCTGACTTCGGTCTGGAAGTGTATCCCACTTGTGGACCAGAAAATCCTTCATTTCACCATCCCCAACAGAAGCAGACACAAGAAACTCCCCAGTTGCCATCAGCATGGTAATGAGAAATCTCACGGTCCTAAGACAAGCAGGATTGGTCACATAAGGTAGGGCTGTGTGATGAGCAGGGCTACATCACAGCAGGGAACTCGGGGTGATACAACAACTCCCTGAAATTCATAGATCCGTGAGGATCAGCCAGAGACCTCTGTGTGTTAATCCACCTCTGCCTTCAGTGTCCAACATGGCCAAAATGAAAGTGCCCCTGAGCAACCAGAGCCTGAGGAATTCCTCCATCCCTTGAAGGCATGCAATTAGTAGACCACTAATGCTCTTCAAGGGTGGGTCTTGACCATGTATGTCTTGCCCTTACTACTATATCTGTCCCACAAAGCCGTGCATCAGCTCATTCTTTCAGGGTCTTGAGGAAAAAACAGCATGAAGTATGGTTCAGCCTTCCCAAGGCATAGGCCAGGAGACGGCAGATGCAGAGCCTTTGCTCAGAAAGGTGTCTGGAGGCAAAACTTGGTGAGCTCGCACCATAGCCTAATGGGTATAACTGCTGGTGGAATGGGACATTTGAGTGCCAGGCAGCAAAATTAGAATAGAATAGAATAGAATAGAATAGAATAGAATAGAATAGAATATTAATTAACTCCTTCCTGCTCCAAACCCTGTTTGTTTGTTTACATAGAAATAGAAATACACAATAAATTCATGGATTAATAATGCATGTATTACTGAGGAAAGAAGATCCCCAGTTCTCTCTGTTCGTGGGCTGACAGCCCATCCTGTGCACAGGCAGCAGGGTTTGGCATGCCCTGGAAACACCAGGCTCATGGTGCAGTCATGCACCTTTACTTTTGTACATGAAACCCTGGTAGACCTGTGGCAAACCCATCCTTGTGGTGTGTCTCACAGCTTATCTGGTCTGTCTGAGATGTTTCATCCAACAGGAATTCCACCTCAGGGACCTCCCTTGTCAGCTCCTCTGCAGACCCACAGACCTGGTTGTGAAAACTGCCTGTCTCGTGATAGCCTGCATTTGCTTTTTCTGGTTAATCTTCAACTCTCCTTTGTACCCACTGAGAATAACTGTTCTTACTGATAACCCCTTTCCGATCCTTGTGACGGCTGTGTTCCCTAATTAACTGATAAAAATTGCTGATATTCCTAGCATAATATTGGTGGATATATCCAGTACTCTGCTGCAACATTTTAAACTTCATTGAAGTATTTATTCCTTCCTTTTTTTTTTAACCAAAGAAAGAGGACAGAACATCATTCTCCATTAGACATTATTGTAAGAGGAAAATCAATAGAGGAAATTATGTTTGGTTAAAATATTTATGCAGTTACATCACTTAGTTCTATGCATTTCTTCTAATTAATAGCATCTTATGTGTGCAATGCAAGAAGCCGCATCTGACCATAAAAATGGCACACTTTTCGACTGGAATTTTATTGCCCAAGTCTTAGCAGTTATTCAAGTTGGCACTGGGTGATGAGTTTGCCTTTAAACTTTTAACTTAATTCTCATTGCCTTTCTGAGCTGTGTGACTCCACTGCCACCTGCAAGGCTTTACCTACCCACCCGTGCAATCACAGTCAGACCCCTCAGCTCCGATGCAGCTCACACCATGACTGTGGAGTCACATCTGGCTTTCCAGTGGTACGGGTACAGATCTGTTTGGTTTTCACACTGTACTCAATCCGGTTCATCATGGTGGGACCAGCAAGCAGGTGTCGGCCATGAGGATGTGAACAATAGGAGAAGCATTTTTTCCCAAACTTGTGAGTGATAGACAGACCGATCACGGGGATGTCGAAGATTAGGACAACACAGATATGGGAGATGCAAGTGTTCAAGGCCCTGGACTGCTCCTCCTTGGATGCAATACTCAAGATAGTCTTAAGGATCACGATGTACAACTGAACAAGTAACAGTAAGTCTGAAGCCATTGAGGAAAGAGCAAACACTTAAGCCATAAATGCTGCTGTCTCATAAATGTCAAATAAATGTGGCTGGGCCACACTGATGGGTGGTGTAGACAAGAAAGAGGGTGAAGAGACCGTTTACCCATGCAGCTCCTTCAGGAGAAAGGAGGCCGGGAACACCAGAAGTACTGCCTGGATGGTCAACCCCATACCAGTCTTGGTGACCAGGGAGTTTGTCAGGAGGGATGTATGCCTCAGGGGCTGCAGATCATGACAAAGAGGTCAAAAGCTATGGCCATGAGCACAGCAGATTTAATGGTGGAGAAGGTGTGGATGAAATACATCTAGTTGAGGTATGAGTCAAAGTAGATGGCTTGATAGTAAAACCCACACAGCCAAGGCTCCAACATCTGGACGGGGCTCTGAGCAACCTGATTTAGTTGAAGATGTCCCTGCCCACGGCCAGGTGGTTGGACTAGATGACCTTTAGAGGTCCCTCCAAACCCAGACTATTCTATGATTCTATGAAATAGCTTTGATGCCCACTTACAGCCTTCTCTTCAGGAGCTGTGGTCAGCATAAGTCACAGCTAGCAAACCTCTCATGGAAATACCTGCCCCACTTCAGTTGGGAGTCCCTCTCTTACATATAGCAAAGTGATTTTTTTTTTTCTTTTCTGGAATTTCCCACAGAACCAAAAAAAAAAAAAAAGTCTCCTGCCAGGCTTGACTGTCAATCAATTTTGAAAGCCTTTTTGTCAAAAGTGTGATATCCATCCTTCCCAGAGAGACAGATACATAGATAACCATTCATAAAACACCTAGTATTTCTAGCAGCACTCACAAAAGGAGCCCGGTCACACATGAGTTACAGACACCAAAGGGGCTGCATGGTCATGTCCCACTGCATGCACGGCTCACTGGGATGCTGTGCTGATCCAGGCTCTTGGGGTGGGTGGTTGCTGATTTAGGTAACTGCTTCACTGAAGATTTCTCCTACAGCTCCTGCCTTGGGAATGGTTATTAAAGACACAGCGTCCCTCCTGTACTGGTAATGCACATCCATCCCCAAGCTATGATCCCAGTGCTGGTCTCCATCGACAGCCCCTCATACCACCAAGGATGAACAGAAAAAGCTTTACCGAGTTGGAGCTGGGACCACTGGGGAGCACACGGTGTGGCACCCTGGGAGGGCTCCTCGGCCGGCTCCTGGGAAGTGGCCAGGGACCACAGGGCAGCTGTGTCCTCCAGAGCCTCTCACACATGTGCACCAGGCTCTGGAGGATGGAGACCCCAGCTGCTGCCCAGAGCTCCCCAGGAGCGGTGGTGGGCACTGTTCTGCCCCGCGGCCCCAAAGGCAGCTGTCCTGAACAAACATGGGAAAACATAGGAAACCTCATCTTATCTCAGAGCTGGATTTCAAGGCGACCAGCAAATCACCATAAAACTGCAAACTCCTGATTCCACTGAATGCTAAAAATGGGCGTTAAACAGAAATGTGAGATATGTTCCATAAATCCGAGTCGTTCTCCTTAAGCTATATTTAGCTGTGAAGATTGCTACCTTTCAGACTGGAAGAACAGCTTGTGAGTTTGAAAGATTTTTATAGTTTTTCTGACTGTAAGTTCATTTAATAAAAGGCAGCACCTCTCACCACAAACTATATTTGTCTGACGTATTTGCAGCTACATACTTACAGTAGCTATGTAGTTATAATGATATTTTTATAGCTACAACAAGCACTACCTCTCCTAGCTCTACCTTCGGAGTTTCTGCAGTCTGACTGGTACAGCCGCCAGCCGTCCTGCCCGTAGTTTCCCAAAGGCCTCAGAGTCTTTCTCAGAGTCTTGTGTCCAGCAGTTTGATTTGCGCTTGCTGGTGCGGGATGCTTTGGTTGGCATCAAGGATAAAGCATGTTGACTGATGCTCAGGAAGGAGTCGGATGTGTTTCACGTTCATTTCAGTTAAGGACTGTTAGGGAGGGAAGGGATGTGCATCTTTTATTTCCCAGATTCCTCCTAGCTTGGGATGTGTGGCCTTCTTGTGAAACAGGATTGGAGACCTGAGCAAAAGTGTAAACAGACCCGGAGGAGATGAGGTTTAAAATCTTGTTTTCAATTCTGCCCCAAGATGCAGGGAGTTCATTTTGCTTTAAAATGCTGTGCTGAAAAATGCTATTAATCAGTATACAGGCTTTCCTTGTTGCATATGTTTTCTAAAATGGCTAAAAATGTCTAACATAATGAGTTAGAACTATTCAAAAAAGTAAGTATTGGTGCAAAAAGACAGTATGGCTGAAGGATAAGCCCCTGGGATTGCAATCAGGGCATACGTGATTGTGAAAGCATTTCCAGCAGGAAGTGATGATGCTCATGATTTTACCTGAGTGAAGAATTTTTCAATAAAGAGTAATGAAAAATCCATGTATTATTCAAAACTTGTACTGCCATTTCAGTGTGGTTTTAATAAGTGAACAAAGTGTAGCGATCAGGTATTTCTCCTTCTCAAGTGTGAGCTAGGGCGCACGGCACCACGCAGCAGCAATGCACTGACCTTCTCCTCCATGCTCTTGGCCCCCCCGCAAGGACGATAGTTTCTGTCTCTGCTCTGTACCAAAGGACACAGGCTGGGAAAATGAGGACCCTCTGAGTCCTGGCAGGGTATCAAAGCCAGATGGGAGGTTCCTTGTCCTGGTGGGGCTACACCTATTTCAAGGAAAGAAGAAATACAAATCTGAATCTGCAGGCATGAGTGAACTCCCCTTTGAGTTCCCACCATCCGGGCAAATGAGCAATGACGCGTGATCATTGATTCAGAGACTGAAATCTGAGACATGAGAAAATCAAGGCAGCCTTAAATCTGAAATTCTCTCCAGGATGAGATGCAAGATGCAGAGGTGATACAGAAAGTGCTTTACACAGCCCTGAACCACCATCACTGTGGGACAGGCAGAATGGAGAATTAGAGCAAGCCACCCTCAGGAGCATTGTCCAACACACAGGTTTCCCTCGTGCTTTGAGCTTTTGTGTGTTAAACAGAGCAGGTCTGCTAATTTTTTACACCTAGGGGCTGGTGCCCATTTTTGTGTAAGATGACATTTTAATGTTGCCTGTTGGCAAATCCAAAATTGGATTTACCTTTCAAGGTAAAACAAGGTGTGGTTTTTAGCCGTTGACTATAACTCACTGCTGGAACAAGTGACCACAGACAGTGGTGAACACTGTCCCTGAAGGTGTTTCATCCAGAGTCTTCCTAAAAGATAACAAGGCCAAGTGCAAGGTCCTGCACCTGGGTCGGGGCAACCCCCAGTATCAATACAGGCTGGGGGAC